TCTCTCTCTCTCTCTCTCTCTCTCTCTCTCTCTCTCTCTGTTTCTGCCATAACACATGATACTAATGGAAAAAACCATTGCCTTCTTTGGACTGATGCCCGAGCTGGCAAAGACATAAATGATATCTGTCTTTCTGTCGTTCAATTTTCAAGATATCAAGAAAGTATACGAACCCGGCAACACCGAGTAGTGCAAACGCGGGCAGAATGACTGCGACCCCGTGCGATGTGGTCAGGGCCCGGGATAGAGCAAGAGCCATGATAGATGGGTGTTGGGCGGACATTGCTCGGAGGCAGCAGGAACACATAGATGAACTGACGACCGAACTGCGTGAGGAGAAAGAGTTGGGTAGACAGATGACATCATTGATTGACCGTTATGCGAAGGAAGTTTCGTTGTTGAAGGAAAACTTGGATCACGCCTGGTGCAGCGTGTTATGGTTATTTGACGGTTTGGATCAATATCACAAAGAGAGAAATAGTCTGAGGCACAGGGTTGAAGACCTAGAATCGATCTTGAAAGACGCAGAAATTGCGTTCACGCCTGTTGATATTCGCATAAATAGACGGAGACGTCTGCCGCGGGAAATCCCCCGACATGTCCCTCATCAGTGGGATGCGAAGTGTTGTCCACCAGGAGAACAATTGTGTTGAGACAAGGATGGGCATGCTACGATAGCCAGAAAGACGGGTGCGGCGACGAGTCTGCTCCGTTGAACGCACACGTTGACCTTCTGTCCTTCTCAGAGGACTGCATCGAACATTGTGTAGAAACTATCAACTACTACACTTGTCTCAAATATCAGGCCGACATTGACCTTGAATGATAGAGCGCTTTGACTCCCCCCAATATATGGGCTCTGCTCAGCAGCTGCACAGATGTCATGGACAGTCTGAAGCACACACGTGCGTCGTTCTTGTGCGGACACCGAATGTGGCTGGAAGGGGAGGGATGTGGCAAGGAAAACAATGACACCGGCGGAGAGACACGATATGTGAAGGAGGACGACACAACGGACCGTGCGGACGGCTGCGAAGCAGCACGATCGCAATGCCTAGTAAGTCACATGCTGCTTTCGTGCCACGATTTCGAAAGTTTTAAACAATACAAAACCCGACACAATTTCCCATGTGTGTTCGCCAGCAGCGTGCCGCACGAACACGTAGGGTCCTCTGGCGTCTTTAGTCTGATGACGAGTGACAACTTTCGGGCTTTTGTGGAATCAACGAACAAGCAACAGATGACACGGGTTGCAACGGATTGTATATGTCACCTCGTCTTAATAATGACGGAGGTCATGTCGCATCTCGTCAGCAACGCAGGCGCGGGGTGTGCGAGCAACGATTGCGGGCGATGCAAACATGCGTTTCGAGTCGACGACTGTTTGCGAACTTTGATAAAGAGGTGTGAGATTGTAGCAGCGCGTGTTCTGAAGGACGGGAGAGAAACGTGATGTCCACCTCCTTCTTTCTCACTCTCTCTCTCTATCTCCCTCTCTCCCTCTGTCTTTTTCTCTCTCTCTTTGTCACGAACACACACACACACACACACACACATATGTCATGCAGTCTGTCTCTGGGACCATTGTTGCAGTGTTGCGGCGAAAGCGTGAGTGTTGTTGGCCTATTCCGCTGTAAGTGTCACGCAATTCCCAAACGTGTGCAAAAGCGGGGTTCCTTGTGTCAATGTTCTCCATATTGCATTGCATTTTGCACCATGCGTTCCACATACAATCGTGATGGGTCGATTCTGATGTGGCGGCTATGTATTAAAACGTTGTTCTCGTTTTCCGCCGTAAGAGACACCCGGTTCCCAGCCGTGTTCAGAGATTGTGTGTGTGTGTGTGTGTGTGTGTCTGTGTGTGTGTGTTTGTTTGTGTGTGTGTGTGTGTGTGTGAAAATCGGTCTCTCTCTCTCTCTCTCTCTCTCTCTCTCTCTCTCTCTCTCTCTCTCTCTCTGGTATTACCGTAACACATTACTTACACCTATGACGTCAAGGTTGGGAGGGAAAAAATAATAATAAAGATATTGTTCGTAAGCCGGCGTAAGTGGCACCC